TTTGACTGGTTATTTCTTTTATACCTTTTCCTCCTATCCCCCAGCACCACAGGGGCCCCTCTGGGATACTCATTGGTTGATGAACTTTAAATATGGCCTCCAGTGGAGGGGAAAGGCTCAGGGACAGAGTGGTCACTTTCCTGGTATTCATGAGGCCCTGGTTTCAGTCCCCAGCACCACAAAACAATGTCTCCTTAGCAGAATATGCCATGCAAATTGTGTAGATTTTCTATAATCTACAAAATGGTAGCAGATTACACATCCTATTCTGCTTCCTTTTCCCGCCCTGGAAACCCAATCATCCATTTTTCTAGGAGGGGAAGTGTCACCTAAGAGTTTATATTGGGCTCACCGCCTCTCCTTTGGATTCCAGTTGTCTCCAGAACAAAACTTGAGTCATGTGCCAAGACTGACTATTCGTGATTCCTCACTGAGCGCCTGCTCTGTGGCAAGCACAGAGGATGGCGCATTGACACCTAGGACAAAGCACAGTACGCAGTGAGAGTATGCAACAGCTTCACATCTGTGGTCGCTGTGTGGTTTGCGGTCCTGCAAACCACGTGTGCTGTGATTTAAAGCTAGGTGGCCAGGTCCAGGGGCTCTTTCAGACCTCACACACCCATACTTGCCAGCAGGTGTGTTGGTTGTCTTTTTCCTTTTGCCTTGTTTGGTCAGCTTTGCATGCATGAGGCCCTGGGTTCGATTCCTCAGCACCACATAAGCAGAAAAAGCCAGAAGTGGCACTGTGGCTCAAGTGGTAGAGCGCTAGCCTTGAGCTGAATAGTCTCTCGGACTTTGCTACCCGGGCTGGCTTTGAACCACAGTCCTCAGATCTCAGCCTCCTGAGTAGCTAGGATTACAAGCATGAGCCACCAGTGCCCAGCTGACTATAGTTTTAAAAAAGGTATTATCTTCCTCTTTTTGGTTTGAATTGAACACCTCATACTCTTGCTTGGCTGGCTTGCTTAGCAGGTGCTCTACCACTTGAGGCATGTTTCTAGCCCAGCTTTTGGCTGTCTGATTAGAGATAGAGTCTCAAGGACTTTTCTGCCTGGGCTGGCCTCGAATCATAATCTTCCAGGTCTCAGCCTCCTGAGTAGCTGCGATGACAGGTTTGAGCCACCTGTGCAGCTAGTATAGGCATTTTAGGGTGAAACTATGTTATCCCCCCACCCCCCACCCGGCCAGGCCTGCAGATATACATTTTGTTTTTCTTTTCCTGGATTAATCCCAGCACTGACAGCCCTGCTGGAGATGATCATCCCAAGAGGCAGGTGGCCCATGGATGACCAAGGCCGCTGGGCAAAAGTACAGGTCTCAGGACTCCACCTCCTTTACTCAGACCCAACCAGAAATCTGCAGCGCAGGGGCCAGCACAGCACACATGTGTCCAGTAGATGGCAGTGGTTCACAGTCTCACAGGGATTGAAGCAGCCCCTGGGCCCTTGCCTGCGAATGCACCAGTGAGCATGTGGAATCAAAAAGCTCCTTTCTGTGTGGGACCCAGCAGCCCTTACCCAGGGCACCCCAGGGACCGGGAGGTCCTACAGCATCCTGCTGCCCAAGGTAGGTCCAAGGACCCAGCTGGTTAGAGGAACCAAACCGGAACCTCTGAGGATGGATGGCTTGACAGTTGACATCCAGATGTGGCGGCCCTTGAAGAGGCATCTCTTACTTTCAACTTCCTCATTCTAGGAATGGGGAAATTAAGAGCAGACAAAGGAAGTGACTTGCCACAGGAGAGAAATTCAGATTCCGGTGTTCATATCACTTTTGCCATGAAGCAACTTCCTGCTCTCTTCATTCATGCCCTCACTTACATGTGTCTGAGGTGACCCCAAACACATCAAAATTAGGGCATCTGAGCTACTGTTCACAGGCAGGAAGTCCTTCCTGCTGTCTGGCCACTGTTCCTCTTGCTACAGGGAACTTACTTGCTCCCCTGAGCCCTCCTCCCTTGGGAGAGGAGGCAGTGCATGACCCTGGAGCTTAGTAGCCCATAAGTCTGCAAGCTCCCAGGTGTACCCCAATTAATACCATCCATCTTTTTTTTTTTTTGGTTGGTCATGGGACCTGAACTCAGCCTAGGTGCTGTCCCTCAGCTCTTCAGCTCAAGGCTGGCGCTCTACCACTTTGAGCCACAGCGCCACTTCCAGGTTTTTCTATTCATGTGGTGCTGAGGAATCCAACCCAGGGCCTCATGCATGCGAGGCAAGCACTCTACCACTGAGCCACCTTCCCAGCCCACCCCACCCCCCCGTTTTGTTTTGTTTTTTTTTTTGGTCAGTCATAGGGCTTGCACTCTGGCCCTCAGCTCTTCAGCTCCAGGCGAGTACTCTACCACTTGAACCACAGCGCCACTTCCAGTTTTCTGGTGGTTAATTGGAGACAAGAGTCTCACGGACTTTCCTGCCTAGGCTGGCTTTAAATGGTGATCCTCAAGTCTCAGCCTCCTGAGAAGCTGGATTGCAGGCATGAGCCACTGGCACCCGGCTCTTGCATCATTTTGTAAATCTCTTTTCTAGTCACATTCCATTTGAACAGCCGACACATACTATAAGGATAGGGCAAGCATTGAAGGCAGGACCTCTTTGTAGAAATGCCAGGTTAATTATTAAAAGAAATTCTCAGAAGTAGAGACTCAGAGAAAATTAGAGTCAGACAAGCTAACTGTGGTAAATAACAGTGAAACTCAGAAAGAGCCAGGAAACCTGAAAGGTAGTTTGATTTTGGATGTGATAAGTAAGAAGTTTGGAAGAATGTGTTTTGGTAAATGTCAGCTAAACCCTTATTGTGAATGAAACAAAGGAAGAGCCTGGAAATGTAACTTTTGCTTTGATGACTTATTGCTTGGTTTATTGAACTAGTCATTGTTATTTGTGATCATTAACAGCTAGTTTTGCTTCTGTAAACCTGCTTGCTATCACATACGCTGCCACCTGTGTGTGACCTGCTTGCCTCTTTTAAACCCTGCCTCACCAGATGCGGTGGCTCATGCCTATTATCCTAGCTACTCAAGAGTCTGAGATCTGAGGATCACAGTTCAACGCCAGCCTGGGCAGGAAAGTCCATGAGACCCTTATCTTCAATTAACCACCAGAAAACGGGAAGTGGCGCTGTGGCTCAAGTGGTAGAGCACTCATCTTGAGCTGAAGATCTGAGGGACAGCGCCCAGGCCCAGAGTTCAAGGGCCAGGACTGACAAAAATAAAAATAATAAAACCCTGCAACAAGAGAGCTTGGCTGCTGTTCTTCACTGTCCCAATAGTGGAGATCAGTCGCCGCAGCTAATAAAGATTCCTAGTCTTATTGGCTGAGTGTTGGGGACTCCTTTTGCCGATCGTGGGTTCGAGTCCCACCAGCCCCAAGAAGTTGTGATACTTCAGTGTTCTGCTACCACCACACACTGGGCTGCAGTGGAGAGCCAGTCACTCATCTTCCTCAAGATGGCTCTGCAGAAGCACCTGCCAGGCTCCTGCACCTCAGCATTGGCATCTCCACTTGCAAAGCGAATGTGGCTTCGGTGGCTGGGGAGGGGAGGGAGGAGGGCACCCCTACTGCCATGCTCCCTGGCACTCTGGGTTCCTCACTATGCAAAAGCTGAGGCCATCACCCCACCCTCTAAAAAGTCTCACTACTAACTTTAACTGGGTATACGCCACCCTGGTTTCTGGAGCCTGAGCTGGGTGGTTCCTCCTTGCCAGGGGGTCCTTCTGTATTGTAGGGTGTTTGGCAGCATTACCAACCTCTACCCCTAGAGGTCAGTAGAATCCTCTGCTGGATTGTGGTGACCAAAAATGTCTCTAGACATACCTTGCTAGTCCCTCCGAATAGGGTTGCCAGGTAAAATACAGAACAGCTGGTTAACTTTCTTTTCTTTTTATTCTTCTGTATTGTTATCTTTAAGAGGTGGTACAAAGGAGTTGTTAGTTAACGAATGCAATATGTCTTGAAGAATGCCACTTCTTTCAACATTTTCTCCCATTGCATATTGTTGTTGCTTGCTTGTTGAAACAGGGTATTGAAAAGCAACCCATACTGGCCTCAAACTCCTCAGCCTCCTGGGAGCTAAGATTACAGGTAGAAACCTGCATACCCAGTTCTCACACAGCATTCCAAAAGTGTTTGGCTTTGTGCCCTACATTCAAACACTGAACACTGTCATGTAAAGGTCAGGATTTCCTCCCTGTCTCCCTCTCTCCCTATTTCTCTCTCCCCCCCCCCCATCTTGTCAGTCATGGGCCTTGAATTCTGGGCCTGGGCGCTGTCCCTGAGCTCTTCAGCTAAGGCTAGTGCTCTACCACTTGAACCACAGTGCCACTTCCGGTTTTCTGGTAATTTAATGGAGATAAGAGTCTCACGGACTTTCCTGCCAGGGCTGGTTTTGAACCATGATCCTCAGATCTCAGCCTCCTGAGTAGCTAGGATTACAGGTGTGAGCCACTGGCACCCACCTAGGATTCTGTATCTCCTGTGGAGATGTATAGCCCATCTTCCAACCAGGCCTGCATTCCCAAGCGGGAAAGCTTAGCCAGATCTGGCAGGTGCCTGACCCCATTACTTCACCCCATGACCCCCAATCCCAACCCCACATTGTACGTTCCACTCCCTGTGACCCGACCCCAGTGCCCGTCACTCGCCGATGCTATCTGCCTGGCACCAGCGGGCACGTGTACTCGAACACTGTAGCCTAGCAGGGAGTGGAAGGAATGTTCCAGTGACATATGGAAGGCTGGAGCTTCGGCCCCATTTTGCAGGTGAAGAGAAGTAAGCTTTAGGTTCGGGAGATTGAATGAAAATTTTCCACCATGATAGCATCTAGTCTAGATTGGAATCCAAGTCCTGGGGCTCTGGGGCCTAGGGCCATGGCCCACCCTGACCAGAGTTCCTGGTAAGGAAAGCCTCACTCAACTACAACTCAAGCACATTGCAGCACAGGGACCCAGAGGGGAAGTGGTAACGGGACGGAAGGCCAGACCTCCGCACTCACGCCTCAGAGTACAGAACTGCAGCTGGGCGGGCACAGCTCAGCCGGCAGCTGTGAGCTTCTAGAAGCCAGCCCAGACCACTGGGTGGACACCGAGCAGCCGGGACCAGACCCTGCAGACAGCCTCCTGGGCCCAGACGTCCACCGACAACTGTGAGTGGCTTTTACATTGTTGTTCCAGGCTTCTTCCTCATTGCAGAAAGCCGATCCTTTTGCCTTTCCCTTCCCTGCTGGGCTGAGAGAAGCCGGCTGAGCCTGGCTCTCCCATTGGGACAGCTGAGGTTTTGAGGCACAAATCACAGGTGCTGAGGACGGCGGGGTTTTCTGGGACGGGACGGAGGAGTGAGGCAGCCTTTGATTCATCGCAGCCGTAGGAGCCACAAGGACACACATGGCTGTGCCGTGAGCCAGGTGCCGCTCCACGGCCTGCCCAGGTTTACGTCCTTAATCCTCACACGCGTGAGTGAGTGTGATTACTAATGCCAGCTAACAGAACGGGAAGGGGTACTGTGACCTCCCTGAAGTCCCGCGGGCATCACTCAGGACGTAGGCTTGGGTACTGGTAGGCTGACTTCATGGCCCGTCCCCCAGGCTGCTTTGCCTTTGGAGGTGCAGGTGGGGGCCCAGGAAGGGACCCAGAAAGACTAGGCAAGGCTAGTCTTGAGGATTGCCTGGTGAGTGTCCACTGCCCCCATTATATAGATGGGAAAAGTGAGGCACAGGGATACAAGCTTCCCCAGGACCCAGACACCAGGGCTCCACCTGTGCCTCCCTGGAGGTTGCCCTGGGGAGGAGGCTGGGGTGCTGCCTATGCCCAGAGCTTGGGGTCTAGGCCACATGTGGCCTTACTCAGCCACCAGTGGCAACTCTACAGCTCAGACAAATCACTCCTCTGGTCTCCCGGCCAATTTTCCTCTTTTGAGCAAGCTAGCTGGGCGCCAGTGGCTCACACCTGTAAGCCTAGCTACTAGGGAGGCTGAGATCTGAGGATGGCAGTTCAAAGCCAGCCCTGGCAGGAAAGTCCATGAGACTCTTATCGCCAATAAACCACTCAGAAAACTGGAAGGGGCGCTGTGGCTCAAGTGGCAGAGCGCTAGCCTTGAGCTGAAGAGCTGAGGGACAGCACTCAGGCCCAGAGTTCAAGCCTCATAGCCAACGATGACAACAACAAAAAGGCAAAACAAAGCAATACAGGCTGTACAGTGAGCATCACTGTCCACCTTGGGTTGGGGCTCAGGGAGGAGATGCTGAAGCAGAGGCCGGGTACCTGAGCTGGACTCAGTGTGAGGCCTTGACCTTTACCCCATCCACCCTTGCTGTGGATGAGAGGTGAAGAGAAGAGGAAGTGCTGCTGGTCTTTCTCTGAAGGTGTGAAGGGTGGGACCGGGGCAGAGGAGGGGCAGGCCAGAGCTGGGGGAGGCCAAGGGACAGGCCAGGCCCAGCACCATGCCCACTTTGCAGCTGGAGAGACAAAGCTCCCGGTCCTTCCTCGGGCCCAGCCTTCACTCTTTGGCTAGCTAAGTTGTGCAAATGGCAGCCTTGCTCAGTCCTCCTTCACTTTCATGGAGTCGCTCAGCACAGTGCTGAGCCCTTATGCACCTGGGCCAGTAGCAAACCCGAGTCTCAGTTGTCCTGAGTCTTTCTCCCTGCCACTGCTTCTCAGCCTTTGACCCTCAGGACATCTCAGAGCCTAAGATGGAGGAAGGCGCCCTCATCCTACTCCAACAAAAGGTCATCATAAACCAGCCTATCACTTCTCTGGCACACCTGGAATTCCAGATTCTTTTTTTGGGTCCGGTCCTGAGGCCTGAACTCTGGGCCTGAGTGCTGTCCCTCAGCTCTTCAGCTCAAGGATAGTGCTCTACCACTTGAGCCACAGCGCCACTTCTGGCTTTTTTCTTTTTGCTTATGTGGTGCTGAGGAATCGAACCCAGGGCCTCATGCATACAAGGCAAGCGCTCTACCACTGAGCCACCTTCCCAGCCCCTCCAGATTCTTAAAGACTTAAAACACTGTGATTTAGCTGGGTGCTGGTGGCATATGCCTATAATCCCAGTTACTCAGGAGGCTGAGATCTGAGGATCAAGGCAGCCTGCAGGAAAGTCCATGAGACTATTATTCCACTTAACCATCAAAAAGCCAGAAGCGGAGCTGTAACTCAAATGGTAGAGCACCAGCCTGGAGCAAAGTAGCTCAGAGACAATGCCCAGACCTTGGGTTCAAGCCCCAGGACTAACACACACACACACACACACACACACACACACACACACACACACACACACACATACCAGAAAACCACTGTGCTTTGTATCCAACCTTTTTTTGGGGGGGAGGGGGAAGGGGCCAGTGTTGGGCCTTGAACTCTGGGCCTGAGCTTCGTCCCTGAGCCTCTCTATGCTCAAGGCTAGAGCGCTACCACTTGAACCATGGTGCCACCTCTGGCTTTTTCTCTGTATGTGGTACTGAGGAATTGAACCCAAGGCTTCGTGCATGCTAGGCAAGCGCGCTGCCACTGAGCCTCATTCCCAGCAGCTAGCTTCCCCTGAGAGCAGAGCCCAGGCCCCAGCACTCCAGGTCCCTTCCCCACCTAGGGCCAGAGAGGACTTCTCTCTCCTTGGTGGAGACTCTTGGCTCCTGCCCATCTGGATGCCACCTTAATCTCTCCTGGAGTGCTGATTCTCACCAAGGGTGGGAAGGAGTTGTTTCTGGCAGCTTCTGCTTTTACTCCACTCCTCTGAAAAGTCCCTGAGGCAGGAGATGCACAAGGGCACCGCGAGAGGAAACAGGAGGCCCTGTCTCACCGATAAGGAAAACACAGCAGGGGCTTGCACAATGACACTCGAAAAGGAAGAGCAGAGCCTGCTGGAGTAGGGTATGACTGTGTCCCGGCACTGAGCGCTATCCACACTGAATCACCTGTTGGCCACCCAGTTAGTGACTTGGGGCCATCACACCACTTTCCGATCTTGATCGTCTTGAACTCTCCCAGTCTCCCAGCCCACCCGCCTCAAGGGGTGCTGCTTCTCCTTCCATTACTTCTCCTTCTGGAGCACTGGCCGTGGGTGGTGCCCCAGGGGGTCCCCGCTCCGTTCCACTTGCACAGCAGCCTTGTCTCAAGGCCTTAGACCTGGTCCAGGGTCACCCAGCCTTTGGAGGATGGCCGAGGCCAGGCTGGAATCCAGTCCGGATGTAGACCCTGCTGTGTCATGCGAGCAGATGTAGAGCGAGCCACATAGGACTAGAGGAATTGTCACTGCTGTCATCTTTACTGTGTCACTGTGGTGTGTGTCTCAAATACCACATCACAGACAGCCTGACACCCTTTGCTGAGGGACAGAGAGGCTACTCCGTGTGGGCGGCCGTCTAGCCTCTAGCCTTACCCCAAAACTGGACAACCCAATGGTCACTTTGTGTTTGTTGCATGCAAGGCCCTGGGACTCCAGCCCACCACCCCGGGGGCTCCAAGTGTTTGCAGTTTTCTGGGCCAGCCCTGCCCCTCCACACTTGCCAAAGCCATTAGTGCAGCCTTGCCCTGCTCCCATCAAGGGATTTCTTTCCATCTCAGTCCCAAACGAGGAAGGTGTGGTCTGGAGAGAGAAACCACCTTCCCAAAGCCAAGGGAGACAAAGACAGAGAGGTGGACAGACAGTGCGGATGGGAGAGGGGAGCCCAGCAGCCGTGGTGTGGCCCAGGGAGGGGAGGCTGAGCCGTTCCACAAGATGGGGGTGCTAGGGAGATGTTGCGCCCAGGTGATAGTGGAGGGTGTGTGTGTGTGTGTGTGTGTGTGTGTGTGTGTGTGTGTGTGTGCCCGTGAGATTTGGTGTTCTCTTTTCCTCCCCAACTTGCTCCTCAGATCTTAAAATGTGCCATGAGCCAGGAACAGCCCCACCCATGGAAACTCCTGCTGCCTCCTCTTGGTGACTCCTCTTGGTGACTCCCACGTCTCCCTAGGGGTTGTGGCCGCCCCACAGTTCCTCTTTGAGAACCACATTGAGAACTACATTCCCATGGCGACCTCAAAATTCAATGAGTGGCCAGAGTGGGTGGCACACACCTGTAGTATCAGCTAAGGACAGACAGAGATCAAGAAGATCCAGGTTTAAGGCCAGTCCAGAGAAAAAAGTGAGAAAGTAAGACCCCCCCCCCATCTTAGCTGCTATGTTGAGAGTGGGCAGTGCACATCTCTAATCCCAGCAGGTGGGAAGCTGAATCTGGAGGACTTCAGTTAGAGGCCAGTCTGGGCAACATAGCCAGATCCTGTCTCAGAACACACACACACACACACACACACACACACACACACACACACACACACAGAGTCTCCCAGGCATGGTGTACACACAATAGCAGCAGAAGATGTTGGAAATTGTGAACTCAATTTTGAAGGACTTGCCTCTCCCCTCTTGGCCCTATCATTTTATGTATCTAAAGATGGACTATGAAGGATTGACCCCCACCCTATTGTCCTGGGCCATACAGACGCCAGGCAAAGTCCCAGGTCTGTGTGAACTTATTTGAAGTGCAGGCAGGGCAATCCACCTAAGCCCAGCTGCAAACATCCCATTGTGGCCCAACTGAAAGGCCCCACCTTCCTTGACCAAGGGGCTTCTCATTAACCTCTGCCTCCTTGCTCAGACCTCCTATAAAAACCCAGCTCCCGTCCCAACTCGGGGGCACAACCTCCAAACCCCCCTCACTGTTCCTAGCTAAACAATCCTCACCTGTTGATTGCATCCGGCCTATTCCTTTTCCATTCTCCTCCATTTTCCTAACAAATTTCATAATGTGTTCCCAGATAATCTAAGTGATAAGACCCTGTCTCAAAATAGCAAAGAAAGACAGAGAGGAAAGAAAGGAAGGATGAAAGGAAGAAAGACAGAAAGGAAGGAAGGAAGGAGGGAGGGGGGGAGGGAGGGAGGGAGGGGGGGAGGGAGGGAGGGAGGGAGGGAGGAAAGAAAGAAAGAGAGAAAGAAAGGAGGGAGGGAGGGAGAGAGGAAGGAAAGAAAGAAAGAGAGAGAGAGAAAGGAAGGAAGGAAGGAAGGAAGGAAGGAAGGAAGGAAGGAAGGAAGGAAGGAAGGAAGGAAGGAAGGAAGAGTAACAAGGTTCTGGTGGCTCACACCTATAATCCTAGCTACTCAGGAGGCTGAAAT